GTTTGAAACTGGTTTTAAAATGGCTAAAAACGTTTTTTGTGAAAATGTGTTTGGTATGAATCCTTTGCAAAAATATAAGTGAATCTTAGAAAAATACTTAAATGCTTCCTATAAGAATTACATAACTGGTGCTTCTTGTAGGAAACACTTCAAGTGGTTTTAGAATTTAAAACTATTTTCTCTAAAAACGCTTTCAATCGTTTTAAAAGCACTTTCAAACGAGTTCTTAGTTCTTAGTTCTTATTAATATATTGTATTTGCTACCCACTATTAATAGTAAACAAACTATTAGAATATTAAAAGGAGTTATTTCTTAATGTTATTAAATATCCTAGTATATCCATAAATTTTAATAATTTTCACTTTCTACGCAATATTAATAGACAATTAGACAAAATATTGAAACCTTAGTCATATTATAGTTGTTGGTATGAAAGTCAGACTTGTGATTAGGAGGAGGTTGAAATATCTCTGTAAGTCTTCTTAGCTCCTGGAATGAGTGGATAATCATAACTTACCACCAGTTGTCATCTTTTTTAAGAATTAAAAAAAACTTTGATCATATTAAAGTTATGAATATTATTTTTTAATTATTTTTTATTTTTTTTTTTTTGTGTAGTTTCATATGTTTTGTGAATTGTGTATAGATTTGGATAATCATATGATATTTTTATGGAATCGTGAAGATGGATGCAAAATCTCAAAGATTTGGCAAGATTCTGACAATTTTCTCGTGCGAATACGTTGCCACTCTTTTGACTTGCATGAAACCATTTCGCTCTTGTGAAAACAAAAAAGCTCAAACACATTAAGCAAGTTTTATGGACAACATCAGGTGGGATCCTTGTAACATCCCACATCGCCCAGAGGAATGATCCTTAAATTTATATTATCATCCTTACCTAGCACGAGGCCTTTTGGGAGCTCACTGGCTTCGGGTTCCGTAGGAACTCCGAAGTTAAGCGAGAAGGAGGCTTGAGCAATCCCATGATGGGTGACCCACTGAGAAGTTGCTCGTGAGTTCCTAAAAACAAAACCGTGAGGGAATGGTAAGCCCAAAGCGGACAATATCGTGCTACGGTGGTGGAGCGTGCCTGGGAAGTGATCCACCCCGGGTCGGGATGTGACAATTTGGTATCAGAGCCTAACCCTAGCCGTGGTGTGCCGACGAGGACGTCGGGCCCCTAAGGGGGGTGGATTGTAACATCCCACATCGCCTAGGGGAATGATCCTTAAATTTATATTCCCATCCTTACCTAGCACGAGACCTTTTGGGAGCTCACTGGCTTCGGGTTCCGTAGGAACTCCGAAGTTAAGCGAGAAGGAGGCTTGAGCAATCCCATGATGGGTGACCCACTAGGAAGTTGCTCGTGAGTTCCCAAAAACAAAACCGTGAGGGAATGGTAAGCCCATAGTGGACAATATCGTGCTACGGTGGTGGAGCGTGCCCGGGAAGTGATCCGCCCCGGGCCGGGATGTGACAATCCTGCTGGAATCTAAAATTGTGGTCAAAATCTGGATAAATAACAGCAACTAAATTGCATTCACATGAAAAAAAATAATGAGTTTAAATATGATTAATCCATTTTGATTATTACCAAGATTTTTTGTGCTAAAATTTCATATCTAACGAATAGGGCAGGTGATAATTACCTAGTTTGGGTCGTTATCGGGTAACCCGATAAGCACCTTTTAAGATATCAGGTTAATTTGAGTATACACGTGGATAACATGATACATGATAAGCAAAATATTAATTTTATAATTTTATAACCCTAAAAAAATACTATAATAATTATATATATAATTAAATTTAAAAAATTAGTGACCATTGGATCGGCTGAGATTTAATCTTAGCCGTCCATTGTGCATTAGGTTGGAGGCTATCATTCTCTTCTCTCTCATTCACTCTGATCTCTCCAGTCCAAACTTACTCTCATACCGTCTCCTTAATCCACATCTCTCTCGCATCCTCCTCCGTTCACTTCCTTCAACTCAACTCCGGCAGTCACAAGAAAACCACACATAGGCAAGCACATGCTAAATGTATGAATTTTGTATTTTTGGGTATTCTGTGTTTTTTTCAAAAAACTAATGATTTGGGGTTTTTGTTAAAATTAAAACTAACGGTTGGGGATTTTTTGGGTTTTTTGATTTTGGAGTCTCTGGAGTTTTTGGGTTGGGGCATGTTTACAAACATTCAGAAAACCCAGCGATTGAGCAAGCGTGCTTCGTGTTGGCTTCGCAAGATTGAAAATCACAAAACGATAAGGCGGAAATAGAATCAAGCATTGGAATTTGGGAGTATAGATGTAGTTATGTAAATTAACTTTATTATGTCATGCCATTTAGTCATATTGGAAGCCATAAGGAGAGATTAATTACTTAATGTCATATATATATATATATGTATATATTGGGGATATGTTATCAAGGGACTGGGGAGGTTAGAATTCAGGTGGCCTGTGAGGTAGGCAATGACAAAGTAGTGACGCCCTACCTATTTTTGTTTTGTTGTAGTAGATGCAATGTCTTAATTATTTGTATGGAATTATTTGTCCCAAGTATTGGCAATTGGCAGGCAGGTCCTTTTTTTTAATTGTGAACGTCGTGAGTTCATTTGTATCTATGTTTCATTTGGGGTCTATTTACTTGAAGTTAATAAGTGGGGTCTATATTTGTTTTAAATTTGGAGATTTGGAACAAGTAAAGCAATTAAGCAAGGTTGCAACCTGCAAGTGCAAGGTATTTTTAATTGAATTGTGAATTTGAAAGTAAATTTGAATTGGATTGTGATTTGTAGATATGTGAATTGGATTTTGAAATTGAATTGGATATGTGAATTTGAAATGGATATAGATAGGTGAAATTGAATTGGATATGCGAAATTAAAATGGATATGTGAATTCGAAATGGATGTGGTATGAAATTGGTATGAGCAAGATTTCGCATCTTGATAATTCAAATATTCCAGTGAATTCAGTGCCTAATCATCAAATAGAATCTGGAAATGTTCTCTTTGAGGTAACCTAAGTTTGTTTTTATTTACTTTATATGTAGTAGTAGTAGTACTATAAAAAGTGTTGATATTATATTTGAAATTGACATGATGCATGATTCTTATTATGTTTTCATTTTTACTTTTTAAGATGAAGGATTTTGTAATAATTACGATGGTTCAAGTTCGATTGAAAAAAATGAATTGCAGAAGTATTTAGAGGATAAAAGAATAGATAGAAAAGTAGACATAGATGTTCTTTCTTGGTGGCAAATGAAGTGTTTTCATTATCCGATACTTTCTCAGTTAGCACGAGATGTGTTAATAATTCCCATTTTAACTGTTGCATTAGGATCTGCATTTAGTATTGGGGGGGGGTAGAGTACTAGATCAGTATTGTAGTTCATTGTTACCAAAAACAGTTCATGCTTTGTTGTGCACACAAAATTGGCTATTTCGAAAAGGAGGTAATATATTTTTATATGGTATAGTACTATTGTTTTATTTCTTTTCATAATTATTTTGGTAAACTTCTCATAATTTGAATGATTTTTAATATTTGGTTTTTCTATACTTAGTTTATGCGGAAGAGAGTTTTGACGTGAAAAACCTTACTAAAAACATCATCAACATAACTCTTGCAGGCAATAGATCAAGTCAAAGTTCCAATACAATTTCCTCATAATGATCGATAAAAATTGAGGATTTTGTAAAAGAAATAACATGCAAGCTTTGAGTTCTATTGGCAAGGTTTAAACTTTTGAGAAAAGCTTCACAACCTTGAAAACAAGAACTCTTCCATTTTGCATATCCTTGCACATTTCATATTTTGTAATAGACTAGGAGTGTATGAATGTTTTTTTTATTAGGCAATGTGTGGTATGTGCAAATTTAAGAAAAAAAAAAAAATTCTTAACAAGTCGGGTCACTTTACCCAGTGACCTGACCTGTTAAGGACCCATTAAGATAACGGGTGTGATACAACACGACCCGTTAAGATAACATGTGTTACACGAAAACGACACGAACACAATAGACATGACCCGTTTGCCAAGCCTACCAGGAAGTGGGCATGTGGCTACCCTACATCGGTGAGGGAAAGAAAAAATAATGAGCTTAAATACGATTATCCCACTCTAACAAATATCGAGGTTTTTTATGATAAAACTCTACACCTGAAGGATTTGGTATTTGGTAATTATTAAGTTGAAAAAAATATGGATGTCGTTAAGATGAGGGCCTAGGGCGCCCGTCAATCTAAAATTCCTACAAAAACTCCCAATTTCATACATTGATTTACTCTTGTGCCAAAAGTGAAGGTCCCCACTTGTGCCTCTGATTTTAGGCCTTTAAAAGGAACTTAAAGACCAGTTAGCTGGTATCACGTATGAATAAATATGCCTCCATCTCAAATTCTAATTCATTTCTGGTTATTAGGTTTTAATAAGAGGCTGACCTACACTACACTAGTACAAAAAGTTCTTAAACGACAGTTTTTTTGTTTTTTTTAACAAATGATATCATATACATTAAAAGCTTAAATAACAGTTTTAAAGTGTCGTCTGGTATAGACTAAAAAACGTCGTATACCATCTTATAGCTAAGCAAACAACGGTTGTAAATTAGCGAATCAATACTTAAGCAAAAGCAGGCTAAACTTTTACTGTTAACCCGCACCAAACCCTCGTGGAACCCCTCTCTCTTGTTTTGCTCTCCTGGACTCCATTTTCGTTCTTTTGTTTTTTGGCAGAAAAGAAAGGACGCAATAACACAAATGAAGATTAAGACGGACCCGTTGCAATTATAAAATTTGTACAGTGAAGATATGTTATATGTGAGAAATGAACATGTGTCCATCTTTTTCTACCTTTTTAGCATATTCTTTTGCGCCTGCAGTGGCAGGACTTTCGGGTTGTTGCCCTTAGACGTTATGTATTGTGATTTTATGAGTACATACTACATATATCCAACAAATGCGCCCACTTTGTAGTAACAAAAGAGATGAAAAGGAAAAGCAAATGCCGAGCGGGAATGCCAACTAGCAGTTTATACAACCTTTCGACTATCAGAGTTATACAATTTAGACATGCAGCGGGTCATACTTGTCAAATCATACGACAAACAGGACCTTTGAAACGCCTAATTATAGAGTCGGGGAAAAAATGAGGCAGAAAGATCATTCAGATCCCTACTGTCTTTGTCTTTTGCGTTAAAAAAGAGTGGAACAGATGATTCGGGAAAAGTTGATTAGCTCTTAGCAGCACGCTATTTGTTCCACGAGAATAACGATGCATCAGATCGCTGTAAAGTGGACAAACACCGCAAGCGGACTACTTCCATCTTCACTGAACATTCCTGTTATCATCAAGCTGCTGTCAAAGAACAGAAGACAAGCAACGGACAGAATTTATTCAAGATTAACAGCAAAGCTGAATGTCAACTGTTCAACAAAAGTTTCTGCAAAGTAGAATTAATAATGCTGCAGACAATCTTCTTTTAGGACACAAGAATTTGAGAATGACGATGAGCATACCTATTTTGAGCTCGTTTCACTATTCAAATCCGAGATGAGGTCTTCCAATTCATCAACGATGGCAGAATAACAGAAAAAATATTGCTCCTAATACATCACAAGTGCAAGAGAGTTAGAATAATTGTTGAAGTAAAGTTGACACACATATTGTGACAGAAAACAATAAACTCTGGTTTGCCCTACACAGATTTGCACCATTGTCTAACACCTGTGGTTGTTTTTCCTAGATTGACTTCTACAACCTCCTATTCATATAAACTCTGGTTTGCCATACACAGATTTGTAGTTTATAATCATCAGACTCTATAGGCACAAGGATTCCCCCAAAATTATCAGGTCGGTAACTTCAGCTCCGGTAGCAACACCATATGTTATCACGGAAGAAACTCAAATGCTCTACCTTTTTTCTCCGTGCATACTAAGAGGAACAAGGAATGGCCACCCAAACTTTTACTTTTATTTGACAAAAAGAAAAACGTACTTTTAATTTTGTCAACAGATCACACATGGTAACCAGAGTTTAACTCAGTTCCCTATGTTGGCATACCCAAACAATCCATACAGAAACAAACTTGCATATATAAATCCTATAAGTCCCTAGCAACAAGGCAATGCACTTAACTAGCACAGCCATATCTTAAGTCTTAACGTAATGTAATAGGACTCTTAAGAGCTGGTTCCATGTGCCAACAGGGCTTAAGAGAATTAAAGTTTTAGACTTGTGCTGGTTCCATATTTGCTTAATGTAATAGGACTGTTAGGAGCTTAAGAGGATTAAAGTAATTGATTTCAAGTGTGACCTGAGCACATGCCGTAAGTTATGGGATTTTGAGCCTTGGATATTTCTTTTTTCCCTTCAAGTTATTTATTTACCATTTTGTTTATTATCATTCTTTTGCTTGTTGATTTGAATGTGAATTACCCTCGAACTTGAACACACCCCCTGAATTGGTTTGGGTGTTAAATATAAGGTACCTCTTCAAATGCCAGATTCACCATTTTCCATATATTCTAGAGTATATAGTCCGAGTCGCCATGTCCTTAGGGAGGATGCAAATACATTTCCATGTGTCAGATTCCTAATTCTTGCTGCTAAAATTCTGAATACCTACCTGATAAGCCATGACCTAAGGAGCCTAGCAATGCTTGGTCTTCTATTTGGGTGCTTTAATATAATCTAAAAAAATAATACAATTTTGACAAGACCAAAAAATTCAACAAATGAATTTCAAGAAATACAAATATCAAATCAACATACAAAAATAATATGATTAAAAATACTTTTTTTGTAATGATGGTTGTAACTTATGAAATAAACCTTACGTTTTTTTCTCACTTATGAGTTAACTTACACCCCATGTGCTTTCCTAAGGGCCCATTATGTATTGCTTTTGGTTTTGGAGAAGGAAAAATGTGAGAATAATGAGACAAGAGATGGTAAATTTGATGGAGGAAACGGCGAGACATATAATTATAGAACAGTTGGTTAGAAACAAAACTAAAAGATAAGGGGCCATCTGGTAACACTTCCGTTTTCATTTTGAGCATCTAGGAGCTTCTTTTGCGATACAACAATCAATTTTCTAGATCCAACACATTTTTTGTAAGATTTAAACTCCAATCTTATCCTCCCAATAAAATTACAAAAAAAAAAAAAAAAAAAAAAAAAAAAAGAGGAAGAAAACTTAAAACTGAAAAAAATAATAAAAAAGTTAGAACAGTAACTGCACCAATGCTTCCGGGGACTAAAATCTGAGGAGGGTGGGGTCTCGCTGGACAAAGGGGCATAATGGAAAATCTGAGACTAGTTTTGTTGGGTCTCAAAAGAAAGTACTTAGGTCTCAATGGAATTTCCCTTTTTTTTTAAAAAAAAAAAATTATTTAGGCACTGTCTGGAATAAAAGAGGGAGACGAAGGGAGAAAGGGACAGAATGTATATGGAAATTGTACCAAAACCAAAAGCAAAAATCAATTTAGAATAGTTCTTTTTTCAAGTTTTTATTTGAAACATTCTCTTAATTTCTCCCTTATTCCTCCCTTCGCATGCACATCACGTTTCTAACTAAAAAGAAACCTAATACCATCAACAAAACCAAACCAAAAACAAAACAACCAAACTGTAAACATGCTACAAAACACTCTCAATAACTAACTATTTTGAAGGTTTTTGTTTTTCATTTTTTTTAGCCAGAAATAGAAATTCACCCAGCAGGATTACGATTATTTTACTCTCTTCAGTTTTGTCCGCAATATAGGCCAAGGGGAGTTTCCATTTTCCACAGAAACATACTGCGAGCTAGGGACCAGTTCCTATAATTATCAAATACTACTTTACATTTAATTATGTTTTTGACGTGTGTTCTATTATACTCTCAGAACCACAAAACATTTGCACTAGCAAATGGCTCAACCAAATTTAATTTGGTATTCATAAAAAGAGAATAATTAATAGTAAACATTTAGACAAATATCGAAGAAGTTACCAGTGTCTGGACCATTCCAATTCGCTGAGACCGAAATGTGGTTATTGTATCAACAAGATCTAAGGCAGACATGTCCCCAGCAAGAATTCTTTGCACAGTATTATGAATTGTGCAGTATGTTCCAGTTCTCCCAATACCTGCACTGAGTAAGAGAGTCAGGGTGTCAGGAAAACATGCACATATAACTTAGTAAACATCACCTAGACATGCAAGTCACAAAAAAGAGTTTAACCTGCAATGCACCACAATTGGGCCAAGGTTCGGTGGCACGTTATATAATCTTTTCAAGATTTCACGGACAGCAATCGTGTTGTTTGGAACTCCATGGTCAGGCCATTCAGGATACTGAATGTGCAAAACAGACATGGGTGGTTCCTCGGACTGCAGCAGTAACAAATAGAATATGAGGTAATACTAATCCAATCTATGCACAATGGTGGCCATAACTCCAACAATATAACATGAGGGAATACCAATCCAATATTTTCATAAAACATTTGCTAAAGAATAAGGAACATTTAAAGGAATATGGACAAGAACCCAAAACTTGAGTCTTATTTTCTTATTATAATAATCACAAAGACAGTGACTTGGGAGCCAAAATGTGAAGCAAAGGACTGGCATCTTAAAAATAATTTCTAAAGGTGGGGAACAAGAAAGAGAATCTCTAAAACCGAACTTAAGATGACTAAACACCATATAAATATCAAACAACAGAAGTAGGCCCAAAATAAGTGCCTTTTTCAACATTCAGAATTTCAGAGCCAGGAAATATTGGACATTACCATGAACCTATCTGCCAAAACTAGGTAAACTCACACAAAACAAAATAAACAACCCACAACAAAAGACATAATGAAAGATGCACAATACGATTATTGAGAATTCATGTCACAGGGTTAAGCGGGATGCTCCAAGACATCTGTGCCTCAAGGTGATGCAACAGAAACGCCAGAGTATTTGGTATATGCCTCACACCTTTATGCTGAGGAATATGCGTCAGGGGTATTGTGGAATTGAAATACATAAAACACAACCCCAATTCATCAACCATTCCCTGCCTAATACCATTTCTCCTTCTGTGTGTTCCCTCATTAATGGCTTTCGGCAAAATTTTTCCTTTAATGCGGCCAGAAAACAAAGAAGATAGGAACAAATCTTCAATAAGAAGATTATAGTACAGAACCCTAATTGTCCTTCCACAGCCATCATCATGACTCATGCATACACTTCAATGCAAACCAGTCAATAAAGATGAAGGGCCTTATACAATGCCATCTAGTACTTCTTGTTCACAAACAAAGTTTGGGATTGCCAACAAACTATGGAAAAAGAAAACGCCTCATAGCTCCAAAGTCATTCCTAATCTGTGAAAACGTGCATCAGAAACAGTCAAAACAGAACTGCTTCATTGAGAGTGGAATAATATAGAAAATCTGTTCAGAGACCAGAGTGATCACTGATCAGATATCTCTTGTTTTTTCCTTTCTTTTAATTAAGCCATAAACTTACTGAATGTGATACAATAAAGATCAAGGTAGTGCAGTAAAGCTCATATTGTAAAGCTCTGAATGATAAAACTAAGACTTAATATTGAACTCTTTTTCTAACCAGTCAAGCACTGTTACATCATTTGATATTAAATGCATTAAAATTTAAGGATAATGCATCAGTAAAGTCATAAGATAGTTAAAGGCCATGTAAGTAATTTTTTCATTTCTTTAAACTTTAGGTAATATGCTCTACTAATTAATCTTTTTCTTTTTCCTCTTGCTTCATCCCGATAACTTTTCAATTGCTAGACATGGTTTCAGTTGTAGGTCATATATCTTGTTTTGTTGTCAATTTACGTAACGAGCGTTTTTCTTATGTGTATCCCTTAACTTAGTTTATTATTAAGAATCTTGCTCTTATTAGGTGAAGATCAAGCAGCAGCCCATGAAATCGATGAAAACCCAAGGACCAACAGTTTGTATTTGGATCCAAAGGTGATTTCACCATCCTGGTGATCCAACACACCGGAACTATATGATATTGGTCTGCTTTCCTAATTGGACAATAAAGTACTTGTTTTATTTACTTTATTTCCTCTCAACTCTTATCCACATCTTCACAAGGTAATTGGCGGAAATTTCTTATATGAACTGGTTGGCACTCTATACTGCTTACTTGTAACTTGCAAGTGTTCAGGTAGAGACCAAATGAACAAGTTGGTGAACCCAAAGGTCCAGTGATGGTATGGAAAAATATGTTGGCATCTAATGCTTTCGTTGGAAGTGGGCTAATACCAGTCAGAAGAAGGTAAAAATAGAGGTATCGCAACTGTTTTGAGTTTCAAAATTTCTTGAACTTTACATCCATGTCTCAGACTCTCACATGATAATCTCTCCAAGTGACTCCTATTAGGATGCTCAGGATCCCAACTCCCGTAATAACGGTTGACATCAGATTGACTCTTTGACTAACTCTTCAATGAAAAATTAACGGACAATAAATCTTAAATGACATTTTGTCCTTTGATTACCTCCAACCAAATGAAACATCCTTACTTTTCAAAGACTATTCTGCATTATTCTATTCCAGATGTACCAAAACGCTCCCCAGTAATCAAACTTTTTAAAGGCCCTAGTAAAATCAATCGTTCCTGTCCCCAAAATTCTATAAAACAAAAAGGAGAACTGATACAGCATGATTTCTAAATATATTCTTTGACTTGGTTTAACAGCCATTTGTATCCTGGACAACAATGAAAATAATGTGATGCCTTACCTCTTTATTATTGACCTCCAAAAGGCGTAATACTAATGAAGTGTCAGTAGTTCTTAGCCACTTAGTGCTTATACATATGTTACCGAACTCTCTAGGGCCATCTTCAGCCTGATAATAATCTCCACATTTAACCATCTGCAAACACATGTGAAAGATTAAGACATCAGGAAAAGTAATATTCGTAAATTTGTTTGTCCACCTAATTTTCAAAATGACAAAATGGTTTTGTTAAGAAGAATATATTACACGGATTCAAGAATAAGTTGGTAGGATCTCTCAAAAGGTTTGTAAAACATCGAATAAGCTTTGTAAATCAAAGTCTCTTTAATTGTATATCTTCCGACGAGGTGATGCCCAATAAAACTACTTGCAACTCAAAACAGGAAAATACCGTGTAACAGTCGATTAAACGAGTAAGCATGATGACCACCGGGCAGCGTTGCTCAAGTACCATCTCCCAGAAATCCTCATATGTGTGGGGAAGTGGACCTTGTGTTGCTATAAACTGAGAAATGCTTTCGGAAGAACTAGTCTACATTTAACAGTAATTACCAAGCAGTCATTAATGTGTTACTAATATCACTTCAGTTTACAATTCTCTACTTCAAAAACATGAATCTGAATACCGTGATTAAGCTGGCGTTGATGTAACCTCTTGCGGAAGGCCTGTAATCCTTCGAGGAGTTGAGAACAACCCTATTTTTGTCAACTGAATCCAACAACAAAAACTCAAATCAATTTTTCAACAATGTAAATTGTGTAAAATGTAAAGAGAGCCCAGATTGAGGCATACATGGCACGACATCGGTGTATCGGTTTTTGCTCGAATTGACATTGTCAAGAGCCACAGTGCAATTTCTCTTCATCTCAGAAGATGTCATCCTCTTGGCCTAAGCATTCATGGCAGATTTTAATAGTTTATTTTCTGAGAGAAATTAAATAAATCAGGAGAGCAAAGACCTGTAGCTGAGCGAACTCCTGGTTGATGTGGTCACGCATCTGGAGCTTTTCCTTAAAGAGCTTGAGAGCCTGAGAGCAGTACTTGTACTGATCGGGGGTGAGGGCGAGTTTCGGAGGAGGAGAATCCGCCGAGACGTTCAAGGAAGGGAGGGGTTTGGCTGCGGCGGAAGAGGCGGTGGCGGCCATCGCCGTCGATCTCCGGTGGCTGCGGGAGCGCCTGGAATTGACGTTCCCCAGTTTTTGGAGCTTTTGGTAGTACAGAATTTTGATTGGGTGATTGCTCGGAATTCCAAATTTGCTCTATTCTCTCCAAAGTTGCGATTTGGTTGACATCGGAGGACGTTGGTTGGTTCGATATATTAACAATTTGGCAAAGTGTGTTAACTTTATGGATAATGCTTGTGTACACGATAAACAGAACGAATAGTTTTAGTTCTTACGATCGTTTGCACATGTAAATTTCAACGAAATAAATACTCGTCGGCAAATTAAAGTTTCGACATGAAAATGTTTATATCACACGCATTAGGTCCTCACAATTGCAAGTATGTCTTGTGATTCATCAAAACCGAACAAATCATTAAAAATGACACGTGTTGATATTTGACAAAAAGTAATTAAGAAATTATTTTTAATGAACTTCTTTTTTCTCTCAAATATCTTTAATTAATCGTAATATAAATCAAACAAATTAATTGATTTGAATTAAAAGAATAATAAACAAATCAAATGAATGGCAAATTGGGGAGATCGGCCAAACTAAGAATGAAGGTGAATTATTTATTTGATTAAATTAAAGATTTTTTCATTAAATCAAGATTATTTCATTAAACCAAATCAGACATGATCAAGTCAAATTAAAGGTGTGTATTCAATTGGGATTTTAAGATATTTTAATTCTTTTAATGAATCTAGGAGTATTCAATCAGGATTTTAAGTGATTCTCTGAAATTCAATGTGTATTCAATCAGGATTTTAAGATAGTTTATTAAAATCCTTAGAAATCTGGGTGTATTCAATTAAGATTTTAAAGAAGTTTATAACATTTAATGTGTATTCAATTAGAATCTAATTTTAAAGAATTTCAAAAAGTTGAGGAATTAGAGGGAATTAGAGAGATTTTGTAGTGTATTTTAAACATCCACAAATATCCCCTCTCCCCATGAGATTTCGAGAGGATTGAATCAAAATTTTACATGAAATCTCTACAAATTAATTAAACTCCATAAAAATCTATCTAATTCCCAATTGAATACATCCCCTAAGTTTTGATTATTTCTTCAGTTAATCAAGTTCAAATCAAGTCTTGATTCTTTCGTTAATTAACCAAGTCCAAAATCAATATCAGACCAAGCTTCAATCAAGACATGGAGAGTCCTATAAGTACGAGGCTTCAAACCAAAGAAGATCATCGCATCCCTCAGATGCTCAAATTCTAAAACACTTTACACACTTAGAAGACACAGAAAACCCTCTACATTCTTCACCCCTCTTGTGAAGAACCATCAAGCACCACCTACACGTGTCAGTTGATTCATCACTAGAAATCAATATCCATGGTTTTGAAGAAGGTTTAAGTTGTTCTCACGATCAAAAGAAATAGTGTGAGCACTTCTGTTGCAAGAGATACTATATCGGCGTCACGACTCGAAGTGAGGCAAAGGTGGTGACCACAATTCAACACACCACCTCCAAGTTGGTACTACTAAAGGTGCAAGGAGAACGTCAGAAGCCCAAGCCTGTCATTAGCCTAGCATCACTGAGGCAACGAAGCATGCTTCTGTAATTAGTGACAAGACTTCCCAAGGCGATGAGTGGGGTTCTTAGGCTTAAAAAAAAAAAATTCAAGAAGCGTTACTTTTTTTTTTTTTTTTTGAGAACTCAAGGAGCGTTCCTTGTCATTGATTTCAAATGCGGACTCAAGCATGGGGTCATATCATGAATTACCAAATGCGACTAGCAGAAGGGGATTTCGTTGACGCCTTTGATGTCCATGGGAGAGTTTTATCCTATGGCTATGTAGGTTAAGACAAATGATGCCACCTTTATTGTAAAACAACTTGCTCAAATAAATGAGTTGCAAAGCTAACAACGGTCATCGAGGAGAAGGACATGCAGATCGCTACACTTAAGAACAGGTTGGAGTTGCAGCATGATGAAGATGTCGACCATGACCCAAAAAATAAGGAGAATCAGCGTGATGATGAGTCCATGAGAAAAAAGCACATCATGAAGACAAGGTTGGAGAAGAACCGAAGCCAAAGTCCGAAGCTACATTGATGGGTTCTCTTTCCACCAGCCACTTCATGACATGATCGTAAACACCATTAGAGCACAGTACGGAAGTGTCTCTCGGGATGCACTGATGTATTCCAAAACATACACTAAGCAGATTGATAGTTTGCAGTAATGTTCTAAGAATCTCTGCCTAGCGCCGCTAGTGCCACCTAGGCACTAGGCGGCTAGCCACCGCACCGATTAGTCTCTAGGTGTTTGAAAATTAAGAAAAGTGCATCTAAACCCGCTTAGGACCGTCCTCCCCTAAATCATGGAAGTCTCCCATCATCAATTCATCATCATCTCATATCAAACAAAAACCAAGATCAATTTCTTCTCATGATTTTTCACGTACCAAAACACTTCCCATCCACCTCTCACCCACAAAGATACCATTGATGAAAAGGGAGCATAGTGGAGCAATGGAAGATTTGGGTTTACGGAGGTGGGGGATTGATAGAGACGGGTAGGTCGACGAAATAGAGCACTTGGAGGAGGGGACGAGATTAGAATCAATAGAAGACAGAAGTGGAGGTTGGAGGAGGAGATAGAAGTGAGGTCGATAGATGATAGAGGTTGGAGGAGGAGATAGGGTGGGATTGACGGAGGGTAGTGGATGGAAGAGGGGAGGAGTTCACAGATCTTTGGCAATGTCTATGTGAGGAAGAAAGTGAGTGTTTGGTTACAAGCTTAGCAAGAGTATGAAAGAATATTTAATTTTTTTTTTTTCCCAAAAGAATGAAATTTTATTATATTCGAATGAAAATGTTTACATCTAAAGCCAAGCCATTCTGGCTCAAGATTATCCCATGGGCAACAAAAGAAGCCACTAGATGCGCTGCCTTATTGCAAACACGAGGAGCGAAGATAAATTCTACTGACCTCAACTGTTGTTAGCCACTTCAGCAACCTAAAAGATTACTAAAGTTTCTAAACTTTAACCTTGCAAGTGCACAAAGAGGTTGATAGCATATAGTAAGCAAGCAAGGGTATTGTTTATTACTTTGCAACTCAACACTGCACACACACATTTAAAAATATTTGATTTGGTTTTGAATTGGTACTAAACAGAGAATTTAATATATAAAAAATAAACAAAATTAAGCATGGATTTTAAAATGAGATATAAGTCAAAGTTAGAGCACTGTAATCCACGACTAAACATTCATCAACCAACATTATAATACCAACTTACAATCTCCAGTAAATGGAATGAAGACATTCATAACACATCCATGGCATGTAGATTATGTTATATCGATTCTCTCTAAGATATGTAAGGTGCATGTCGTTTAGCTCATTACAAGTATTCTATCAGACAACCTAGCATGACGTTCACTCAAGTTAACAAAATAGAATCCATTAAGTTCAAAGAGAATATGAATATCACAAGAACCTTAGAATATGTCATATATTACTAAGAATTCGAGATGTTACTTCATTTGATTACTTCTTATCATAATCAATTGCTGCCAAAGAAAATATGATAGATATGTCAATCATCATATAATCACAACATTAATAACCCAAGACAAGATTTATAAGGTGATCAATCAAAGAAACAAGTAATAGGCATCCATTATAATAGTAAAGTAAGCATTCATCCAAAAATTGAGAATTATAAACTGGAATTATATTATTACAAAGCAAGAATCATGTCTAGGGCTTCGTACTAAGCCCTAACTACAAAGAGTTTAGTTACTCATGTCCAACAATAAAATAGCAACTTTAAAACTCATAAAAAACTTGATAAATGGAGAAAAAACGGAGGAATGATGAAGCACTTTGATCCAATCTTCTCGTGCGGTTGCTATCTCTCTAAAGTTTGATAAACTAGTACATTATAAACTCCAATTTCCATTCGTTAATTTCATCCCATTTGAATTTGACTCCCTTCCGGGTGAATTTAGTAAGAGGCAGAGCAATCACCAAGAAATCATGAGCAAAGCGTCAGTGATAATCAGCTAGCCCAAGGAAAACTCCTTACTTCTATGACATTCTTCGACTGTTCCTACATAGCCGCTGCAGAAATCTTCTGAGGGTCCACATAAATTCCCTCAGCGGAAACCACATGCCCGAGAAAACTGATCTGGTCCAGCCAAAATTGACACTTACTAAACTTCGCATACAGCTGATGCTTCCTCAACTTCTCCAACAGTAACTTCAAAGGTTTCATATACTCGACATTACCCTTGGAGTAAATCAAGATGTCATCGATAAATACAATCACAAACTGATCAAGATACGGTCTGAAAACTATATTCATCAAATCCATGAAAGCTGCAATTGCATTCGTTAATCCAAAAGGCATGACATGGAATTCATATTGTCTATACTAGAAAGCGAAAAGTGGTCTTCGGTACATCTTCATTCTGGATTAGTAGCTAATGGTAACCCGAACGAAGATCAATCTTAGAGAATACCCGAGCACACCTCAATTGATCAAACAAGTCATCAATACGAGGTAGGGGATAATGGTTCTTCACTGTCACCCGATTAAGTTGTCTATAGTCGATGCAAAGTCTCATCGACCCATCCTTCTTCCTCACAAATTGTGAAACCCCGTCCATATTTTTACGTATTTTGTAATATTATCGAACGTATGAAATTACCAAATTGTCCTTGAAGCATGAACATGGACTTTACGTTTCGATATGTCAAACGTTTTTCGGATATTTCATGTTTCGTCTTTAGTGGCCTTAATTTGTGAGCTAATGGGACCCACTTTGGATTCTTGCCCCCTTGTTCCTTCCCCCTACCCATGAGCCCTATTCCCCTTTCTTGATTTCGGCAACGCTCTCTCTCTCTCTCTCTCTATCTCTCTATACACAGCCACTCTCTCTATCTCTTGGCCCTCTCTCAAACTAACCCTTTCTGAGGGTTTTCACTTAAACAAACCACACAACAACGACAACAACAACGCCA